GCTTCGTGGGCATAAGTCAGCTTCACGCGACCTTTGGGAAGTTCTCCAGGGACACATCACTGACATTGCCTTTGTCGGGGTGTGCCGCAGCTTTGGCGCTCTGGCCAGAGGCATTGCATACTGGCGCAGACATGGCAGGACGCTCTCTGGTGGAGTGTGGTGGTCAAGCCTGCTGAACTCGTTGTGCGACTTGGGCTTCACTGCGGTCGGGGGTCGTTTCGTGCACACGGCTGTCGGAGGCTTCACTTGGCCTTGGCACCAGGCCTGGGCACCCTCAAGAAGTGGCTGGAGCAGGCCCTCCATGTGCTCCGAGAAGCTTGGCGCTTTGCGAAGTGGGACCTTTTCCGGGCCTCGTCAAGGCGAGATGCTGAAGTTGTGAGAGGCTCAGGCAGTACGACTCGGCATTGATGCAAAGGGCGCGGGCGGCTTTCAGTTCGTCTGAGGGCGATGGCCGTGCTGTCTTGTCGGGAGGGGCTCACTCGCTTGCTGCATACCACGCGGTTCAAGGGCAACAGGCCGATGAGATCCAGAAGTGTCCGTACTGCGGTACTGAAACAACTCCGGGATGGCTGCACCTCGCTTGGCATTGCAGCCACTTTTCTGGAAATAGGCCGATGGAGCCCAGTGACCCTTTGGCTGCTCGCTTGGGCTGGCCTGTCTATGGGGACCATGCAAGGGACACTGCTGTCTTGCACCACTTGTGCGTTGTGAGAGACAGGGTCAGACGCGACTTTGGTTTGAGAGCCCTACCGGGCTTCTCACCTGACCTGTGAGTCACCTGCGACATACGAGCCGTGCATTCTGAGAGGATCGCGGTTCGGTTCAAGAGTAGCACAGGGCGAGGATATGCAGATCGCTTGCCGGGGGGTGGCGGGTCCTTCCTCTACTGCTCCTGTTGAGGCTGCTCAGGCCGAGACCGAGGATATGCGGATCGCTTCCGGGGGTGCCCTTGGACACTTCACCGGTCCCTTCGGAGGAGCTGCACCACAAGGGCGAGGAGATGCAGATCGCTTGCCAGGAGGAGGATGATGCTTTGTCAAGGCCTGGGTCGCCTACTCCGGTGCACGTCGGTTCCTTGATCCACGACCTGCGCAATTTGGGAGTCGACCAAGCTGAGGTACGAGCCATGAGTGCACAGGCAGGCCGTCTTTTGTCAGGTTCGGCACGCTCTCAGCAGCTTCTTGCAGCTCTTCGACAGTTTCGGTTCTTGCGTGATTGTCGAGGGCGTGGGCATGTTCTTAAAAGACTGGACCTGCCGAGGGCATCCCTAAAGCGCGGCACTCATGTTCAGTGGGGTTGTTCAGTTTGCATGTGCACTTGGAGCTCCTTCGCTGCCCTCCGGAAGCACATTCAGGGCTCGATTGCGTGTGCAGGCGAAGGCCAGAGACACTTGTCGTTGCAGTCACTTTCATGGAAAGAGAAGTGGCAGTGGGCCTCGCTGGCCGAGAGACGGATCTTCAAACAGTTGCTAGGCCTCACCAAAGCCGAAGCCAGCAAGCTTACTCGGAGTCTTGTGTGGCAGTCGGCTCCTCAGACCTTTGTCAAGGGAGGGCACAGGAAGGGCAGCAAGCGACCTGCCTCTCGGCCTGCTCAGCGTCATGCTTCTTCAGCTCCAGCCCAGCCTTCTGCCCCGCCGGCCGAGCCACCTGAACAAGTTCACGAGTGGCCTTGCAACCTTTGCTCCACGGTGCTAGCTGCGAAGACGCGAGCGGAGCTCACGAAAAAGAGGGAAAACCACATTGTTCGTGCTCATCCTCGTGAGGACAGGGCACGCTTCATGACTTTGAGTGGCACCATGGGAGCTGGTCGCCGCCCTCGCTCGGCGAAGCCAGGAGGCAGAGACAGGCCTGGCAGGTGGACATGGAAGTGCGACTTGGTTATCGTGTTTACTCGATCCTGTTTAAATCATTTTGCTTTTGCCTGCGGGCTCGTTTGCAATTTTGTATTCCCTCCTTTTGCATGCGGCATGTCTTTTTCGATTGGAGCTTTTGCGAATCATCCTGTCGATGCCGCAGCGTGGCCGGCTCGTGATCGAGCTGTTGCGGTTTTTCTTCTTGGCGTTACATGATACGCATGTGTTCATGTCAATGCTACAACAGTTGTTGGAACTGCGACAAACACGTCACAACTCTTTCTTTTCAGTCCTTAGGGCTCAGTGCACGCTCTCCTGCTGGAGAGTAGATGGACCCGGGCCCTGCTGAGGCTGAACCAGAGCCTGACTCAGGCTCCGAGGGCACTGCTAGCACCAGCACTGTCAGTGTTATCAGCCGCCACGTCAACGACCTGCAGCGTCAGGTTTCAGCATTGCAAATTCAGGTTCGCGGCTTGCTTACGGACGTGCAGGTGCTCTCCGACCGCAGTGAATACTTGGAGGAGCGTGTTCGCGCGCTTGAGGGCGCCAGGCTACAGCAAGCACGACGTCTGACCTGGATCGAGCGGATTCTGCAGCGCCTTCATCGGGCATTTGCTTCTGACTAAGAGGACCACGAAGCCATGGCCT